AATATGTGTCGTCGAATATTTAAAAGACAATTGCAAAAATACCGCTTAGGTGTGTATATTTTCAAAAAACCATTATGGGTTGTCAATTTGCAAAAATACCACTGATTTATTAATTTTGAAGCTAAATTTTAAACACTAAAAATTTTTTTGACCCCTAACAAACCCTAAATTCTAAAAAATAAATCCTAATATAATATAGTTAACCCAAACGTAAATGATAAAATGAGTAAATAATTTTGAAAAAGTGGCATTTTTGCAAATATTTTAAAAATGTCATTTTTGAAAAGTGGCATTTCTCAAAATTTATCTACATTTACTATTTCGTTATCGACTATTATCCTTGTTATATGTTTAACATTGAGGTTTGCTAGAATGTTGAATGTGTTCAATCGTGAAACATCTAAAGACACGTGTTACCGTTAACTCAAATATTATCCGATATTATATATGTTAAACATTTAACAATTAATTTAGAAGACTAATTTGAAATACAAAGATACAATTTTCTAGTGGGTTTTTTCGGAGAATATGATGACCCACCGCCAAACACCACGAATCTCGCTGAGAAAGCCAAGCACTGTGAACCCCGCGTCCCATATTTGTCCTTATGAATGGAATCAGATAACTAGTAATCGGCTATAACATTAGATGTTTAACATTGGTTTTTGCTAGTTATGTTGAATGTGTCCAATCATTAAACATCTAACAAACTATGTTATAGCTAAATAATATGTTATCCGATATTTTATAAGTTGTCAACTAACAATAGAAATAGAATAGAAGATCATTTCGAACATTTTTACCCCTAAATGAGTATCTCGACTCTATATATGTCTGAAGTAGAGACAGATCTGGTGAAAACAGCGACGGATCCGGATAATAGAGTCACTATCCGGATAGTAGAATATATTCAAAAAGTATTGTTAATTGTTAGCCGGATATAAATTTTAAATAACTAGACAACCTATATTATGTTGGCTGTAGTTTTTTAACAACTTACGAAAAAGAAGAACAGTAGCCGGATAAAATATCAGTACAACAAATAAATTTTATTAGAAACGTGGATAATATTATTATTATACGGTTAATAAATCAGTATCCGGAGAGTATAACATATTTAAAGAGTAATCATAATTGTTAGCCGGATATTAGTTATAAATACGGACAACCTACTAGATTTCAAGTCGATTCTCTAAAACTTTACGCAAGAATACTAAAGGGTTTACTTATAATAAACTTCAATCCATGCTACTTTCTCACTGTTATTTCCTTGAGTTTAGGATTTATCATTGTAAGTTTGTTAATTATACTATCTTCTATGGTTATCTACTTAATTCACTAGTGGATTTTCTCGGAAAAAATAATGACCCACCGTCAAGCACCACGAATCTCGCTGGAAAAACCAAAAATATTTTGTATATTCATTTTTCCTATTTTAGTAAAAAAAAATAGATTTTATTTTATTTTATACACTTAGTTGCCAAAAATTATTTAAAAAAAAAAAACAATTTGAGCATTGCAAATACCAACACTTATTCGTCGATTTCTTAAAGTTTCAATTTGAGCATAGAGTGATAAGGCTGCACAAGGTGTCGAAAGAAACCCTAACTTTTGTCGACGTTCTTCTCGTGACAGATTCAGAGAATAGATAAAAACAAGTACAGTATTTGGAACACTCAAACTCAATCACCGATTCGTGAACTCTCCTACATAATCAGAGGGTTCCAAATTGACAACAGCAAAATGCATTTACAGATCACGAGCTATCTTGCCGGTTTCTTCCTTCACCTTCTTAACAAAGAGAGACGCAAAGCATAACCCCATATAGTGTAGGAGAAGTACCGCAAAAACGACTTCAGCTTTCTTGTACCGTTTTGGCAAACATAGAGCAAATCTCAGGCATATTTAGACAACGTTGTTGGCCAAACCGTTCTCAGCTCTAAGTTCATTCCGC